ATGTTGATTGATCTACTTACGGGAGAGGTGTTTAGAATGGTCATGTTGGCTTGGTTGTTGGATTTCAGAAAGGCTATATGCTGAAATGGTCTTGTCTCCCAACTGTCCGGCTTGGATGATCCTTATTTGATAGAATTATTAGTATTCATTGGGATTAGTGAAGATCTAGTTTTCATTACCAGATTGTCATAGAGGTTAATAGGATAAGTATTATAGGTTAATACTCACTCGGCGTGTTATCCGTCAGTTGGACCGTCAGTAAAATCACTCAGATAGTTATCACTCTTCCGAGTCATTGTCAAGGTGAGTTCATTTCACTATATTATATATTCAAGTATATATCCATGTATGTTAGGATATAGGAGCCAGTAGAGTAGAGCCCATAGTACAGATTCTTTGTGCCTGTATTGGTAGACTTGTTAGGATGTTACTTGTAATGTTAATTATGTATGTGATCGGTTGAGGGTTGAGGCATTCCCACTTCATGCGGAAGGCCAAGATGCGGCCAGACTAGCTTTATGCTAAAGGCCAAGGGTGACTTGATGGCAATAACAACTTAAGCGATTGTGAGCCTAAATAATGGCAATAGCAACTTAAGCGATCGTAAGCCTAAATACTCAGAAGGTGAGGTGACGACAATAACAACTTAACCGATTGTGAACCGGATAACGACAATAGAAACTTAAGCGATTGTGAGCCTATATACTCGATATTTGCATGTATATATATTGTGATATATGGTATATTAGGGGAACTCACTAAGCCTAACGCTCACCCAGTAGTTATAAATGTTTTTCAAGCACTCCATTGGTTTGTGAGAAGGGCAAGGTTCAACTGTACACATGCGCATTCGCAATCATGTTTCCACAAATTTAAATGTACGTACTCTAATATGAACTAATGAATAAAAATGAAATTTTTGCCTTTGAAAATCGAGACGTTACAAACCATTCTTGAAGTCTAAAACCAACACCAAAGTTTAGATCTGAACTCATACTAAAAGGAAGTGTCTCAATGATCCATAAAGTTGATAACTTTATGTATCTCATGCATGATACTCAACCCATCCATGAAAAGGAAAACACAAATCTTAGATCTAACATGCATTAGAGATAAAGGCAGGAGCTTTATGACCTACAAAGGTCTAAAAGCACTGCAAGATGATGAGGTAGGAGCTTGATTGCCAAAATGATGCACCCAAGGAGTCTTCTTCTTCTTCAAAGAGCCAAAAACCACCAAATGAGCTCTTTAAGGTCACCAATGGAGGCTAAGAACGTTTTGGGCAAGAAAGAGGTGATGGAGGTTGAAGGTATGCAAACCCTTGCCTCCCACTTCACTTAAATAGGGAGAAAAACACGAAATTAGGGTTAGCCTGATCTCACAACGTGAACACCTATGTGTCACATCGTGAGCCTTAAAAATGGACACGCGTCTCCATTGAATGTCACGTCGTGAGACACTATCTCTCACGTCATGATCCTCTTAAATTTCGGGTTTTTCATTCTTAATTATTTCAAACATTGAAAGATCTAGTACATGCAATAGATGTTACAATGATCGTCTTACCTATCGAAGTGACGTGTCGGAGATCAGAATCGAAATTGAAAAGTCGGAGTGGCGCGTCGGAGGTCGGAATCGGAGAGTCAGAATCGAAATCAAAATCACATGTCGGAAATCGAAATCGAAAGTTGAAGCGAGATCCGGAATGAAGTCATCATAATCAAAATTTTAAAAAATATCAAATGAGTAATTTCTAAATTAATTAATAGGGTAAATTACACCATCCGTCCCTCGTGCACATGCACAAAGCATGTTTAGTCCCTATTTTGAAAAATTAACTCGGACTGTCCCTGTGTTTGTTTTTTCTTGCACATTTAGTCCCTCTGGACATAAAAAGACTAATTTGCCCTTGATAATTTCTTTTTTAGTTTTCTTTAGTTTATTTATCTTATTTTAATTAAAAATATATATATCTCCATCAAACACACCACCCCTCCTGCCTCCCGTTTCCCCATATCCCTTCTACCTATTAGTCTTCATCTTTCTTATCTTTTTCTTTGGATCTGTTGGATCTAGATCACTTGAGCCACCATTGATGGAGCAAAAAGGAAACACCGGGACATTGGTTCCATACACAAATAGCAACCAGACGTTGTTGTCCTTGTGGCCCTAGTACACCGATTATGTCGTTGGGTTTATGGGAGGAGATGGTGACTTGAAAGTTGGGGAAGGGGGGGGGGAGGATATGGGTGGATTCATTGGAGGAGTAGATGGTGGCGTCTTGGAGCTGCTGAATCTAAATGGTGGGTCGTTTGTATTTTTGGCAGGCAGAAGAGTTGATGGTGGCATTTTTGGAGCTGTTGAATCTAGGTCGCCGGAGCTACCATCGTCGGAGCAAAATGGAAGAACAAAAGAGCTATTTTCTGCCTCCATCTCCGTTCGAAACCCTTGCTCCACCTCTATTTCTTTAAAATCAGGCAAACCCTCTTTTTCACCCCCTCTTTCTTTGCATCGATATAACAACCACCATCGTGAGTGATACAAGCACCGTCACTGACGTCTTTTCATGCCAACGAATCCCCCGAAGAACATAGTTATGCTTCCTTCATGGCGCCTCCAGTCCAGTGGTGCTCTTGGTGGCACCGGGAGATCTTAGAAATGAGATGATGAAGGTGAAGGTTTGAAACCCTAGGTGGCGTCGATGGTGGAGGGTTAGGCTACTCATTGTCGGTGTATTGTTATAGGATCGAGACATGAGTTACTTCTGGTGTTTTTGGTGGTGATGGCGGTATCAGATTCCGGTGGTGGTGGTTGCATCAGATTCCGGTGTTTGTGGTTATAGTAGATTCGACAACTCTAATGTGTGTCAGAAATTTAGAGGAAAGAGGGTGGGGTGGGGTTTTTTTATTTATTTTGTATTTTACAAATAATTGTAAGAAAAATAAAATAAATGAAAAAATAATTAACAAGGGTAGAATAGTCATTTCATGTCTCACAAGGGATAAAACATACAAATTTAAACTAATGAGGGATGACATGTGCAACTTTTAACCAAACGAGTGACGGTTTGAGTTAAAATTTGAAAATAGGGACTACACGTGCTTTTGGACCCATGCATAAGGGATGAATGGTGTAATTTACCCTAATTAATAATAACATTAAAGGTAACAATAAATCGAACAACATATTTAGGCTTTTTTTTATATTTTTTTATTTTTTTTTCACTTACAAACTAAATAAAAACAAAGTGGTGATATAATTATTAGAGTAAATTACATGAATGGTCCCTATGGTTTGGGGTAATTTGCGCGTTTGGTCCCTAACTTATTTTTTTAACTCGGAAGGTCCCTACTGTTTGTTTTTGTTACGCACTTGGTCCTTATTGTTTGTTTTTGTTACGCGTTTGATCCCTGTCTTACCTAAAAAGATTATTATTTAAATAGAGAAAAATAGTGGGGTGGGTAAGGTAAGGTGAAGGGGTGGGGTTGGGGGTGTGTTTATTTAAATAAATTAAAAAATCAAGGGAAAAATAGTTTTTTAGGTAAGATAGGGACCAAGCGCGTAACAAAAACAAACAGCAGGGACCTTCCGAGTTAAAAAAATAAGTTAGGGACCAAACACGCAAATTACCATAAACCATAGGGACCATTCGTGTAATTTGTTTATCTTATAATATGATTCAAAATAATTATCATTTTATATATCAACTTAGTGTAAGAATAATAATTTCATACTTAATGTTAATATCATAATTATTTTTAACATGTATTTGTTAAAATTTTAATTATATAATATTATCATGCACAACATAAGGATATTCGTTTAGTTGCTTAATAATGAGTCATTTGGATGTTCTAAAACATTTTGTGACTGTAGTTGGAAATTTGGACTTTTGATTTCTATCTCTTGATATGTTGATTTTCAAGCTTAAAAATCGTATTATGGTTACTTCTTCTTAGATATGGGTTTATGTATAAGAGTTATTGTCACTATAGCCCAACAAACTTTAATATATTGGTTTAAATGGTCCTTCGTGACTATTTTTTGCATTTGAAGGGCACAAACTTATGTTTTACCTGTTAATAAAGGGATATACCACATTTTAAGCAGGTTTTACCGATTACAATAAACTTACTTGGCTTTTTATTTTTCTTTTTAAAACCTTGTGGGCCCACATTTTTCTTTGTTATACTTTTGTTGACTTCTCACTACCTAAATGAAGAATGGTCACCGATAAAGTGATGTTTATCTTCATAGTGGTCGCTTCATTGTGCTTCTTCATCGTATTCCCCCTCCGGCTACTTTCCGGTGACTAGTACTGTGACAGTAAACGCTTACTATCCCGACACACTCTCCGAAAACCATCGTCTAGTCTCCGACGATAGCAATATCCGAAGACCCATCGACAATGGCCGCATAAAATTTCCATAGAACCACGACCACTACCAGTCAACGTTTGTGAATTGGTGGTGATCGGCGATGAAGACACTTGAGTGGATTTGACGGAAGCGGTGGTTTCGTATCGACCGAGACTACTTTTCTCTCGGTCAACGTTTGTCAATCGGTGGTGATCGGCGATGAAGACACAGGAGTTTCATCAGGTTTTGATGGCAAAGGTAGTTAAATGGAACAATCTACCTCTTAATCAATCAAAATTATTCTTAATCTCATTGATTGGGTTGTCGTCGTTCTTCTCAATTTTATTGATTTTCACGACGTCGAAATTCTTTTGATTGAGTCGTCGTCGATCCTCTCGATTTTCTGGATATTTTGGATATTCTCGATTTTGTCATCACATACAGGTGATGAACTTTGCGATTCGTTTGGAGTTTCTGATGTTGAATCGTTTCCATGAATCATCTTCTTCTGTTCGATAATAATGCCATCGATCACTTGATGACTTGATGTTATAATAACTTCAAAATTTATCGAAGGAAAAGAAACCCCCCTTTCTAATCAATCCATGACTTGCTTTTACGATTGTTAATGTTTCAGTGTTCATGAGTGAATTTCAATTTCCTTGGGGTAGATCTGAAACCGATTGTAGTGATTCTAGAGTCATAGTTACCCAAGGGATCTTGCCGATGGCTTTTAGAGGTAGCGAGCAGTCAGCGTCGTATGGTGAGCTGGTGTCCATCGGAGATCTAAATCCCGATGTAAACAAGAAACTAAGTGTTGCAGTTGCTGATATTCTTAGCTCCAAGCTCTCTGTTCCCAAATCACAATTCTTCCTCAAATTTTTCGACTCAGAGGTAACCTATATGACTCTCACTTCTGTCTGTTTTCTTCGTCAATATGTAATATGTTTTGATTGTTTGTTTTGATTTTGATTTGACAGAGATCTTTCTTTGTTTTGATTTTGATTTGACAGAGGTCAATTGCAAGAACGAATGTCTTCAAACTCAATCTCACGAGATGAATTGCAGTAATATCAGGGGTAGTTTGGACCATTTCAGTTGACCAAATGCCACGTGACATATCAAAATTAATGATTAGGAAGGGGTTCACCGGGTGACCCCTTCATATTTTTAATAATGACCTTTTAAAACGGTAAAACACAAGTTCGTGCTCTTCAAATGTAAAAAAATTGTCATGAGGGACCATTTAAACCAATATACTAAAGTTTGTTGGGCTGCAGTGACAATAACCCTATGTATAATGGCCAATATGTTTATATATATTTGCGTAAATTCGTGTTTCCATATAATACAATTAAAAATATATTTTATTTATGTCATATCACATGTTATACAAATTATGTACGTTTCGTTTCGTGTTTAATATTCAGACACGTATAATCATCTATTTCGTGCTCTTGTTTCACAAATCCGTGCCATGTAAAATTGACACAACAAGAAAAAACGAATTGTCAGCTCTAGGTGGCATGAAGCGGTAGGTGGCATGAAGCGGTTGATATCTCTCAAAACTCAACTTCATGTGAATGATGGTCCACCTCTTTTACACTAAATGAATATAAATTTTCATATCACCCCTTCATTTTACATTCTTTTTCAATCACAACCATCTTTTTATTAATGTTATATGAATAAATTTCAAAAAAGACAAAACTGCACAAATGGTCCCTATGGTTAGCTGAAAATTGCCATTTTGCTCCAAAAAAGTTTCGACTAACACCAAAGATCCAAACTTTTCATTTTGTTGCGAGTTGGATCTAATTTGCTTTGAACTTTTTTATAATGACGATTTTACCCTTACCTTTTACTTTTTTCAATTTTATTTATTTATTTAAATATTTGACTGATTAAAAGAGAAATAAAAAAGAATTTAAAAGAAAAGACAAAACACGCACATATCTCATAACCAGGGCCGGCCCAAGCCCAGGGCGACCTGGGCCACGACCCAGGGCAACAAATCTGAAGGGGGCATCAAATCTTTTATAGGTATTTTGTTATTTGGGCCATATTTCATCCACTACTACAGTCCAATCCATTTCCAAAAAGATGCAGCCGGAAGCGCTTGTTAACATTGAGACCTAAGTTGACGCCAGTTGGAATTTGATTTCGCACGCTTCCCACTTCTCGATCCAAGCACCAGCCACTAGCCCACACCTAGTAATTGAAGACGATGAAGACGAGGCGTCTGGTTTTGTAGAAGGTGAAGGACTATTCAAAATAAAAATCTTGATCTAAATTCAAACCAACAGTTCAGTCGCTCCTCCCAATTTTGCTTTTTTATAGAATCGTTTCTTCTATAGTCCTATTATACATCTGAAGATTCAGATAATCATTCCCTCTTCTAATCGGTCATATTGAAGTGAAGTTTCAAAGAATAATTAAATGATTAGGCCCTCCTAATCGATTCAGGTAAGTTTTCCCAAGTATTTTAAATAGCCCTTAATCCAGGGCTGCTATAAGTTTCCCTGATTTTATAAAATTTTAGTTTTCTTATTTAACTTACTGCTAAAGTGAAGCTGTCGATCGAAGTTGTCATCTTCTTGATCCAGGGCTGCTATAAGTTCCCTGATTTTTCGAGGTAATTTAATTTCTTAAATTTATTGAAACTTTTATAAGGTTTTATGCTATAAGATTTTCTTAAATTTCTGATGCAATTGTTTTTCTTATTTCTGATTAATCTAATGTTTTATGTTTGCTAAATTCTAAATGAAAGTTTGATATAGGCATTCTGATTTTGAAAATCTGTTATAAGATTTTGAATTTTATAATTATATATACTCTTATTTTGAAATTTTGATATTGAAATTGTGATATTGAGAATCTGTAATGTGAAAATATGATGTATTTGAAATTCTTAAGTGAATTAAGATGCTGAAATTCTTATTTTAAAAATCGTATCTGAAATTTTGATATTGAAATTCTGTATTAAAATTCTGGTATTGAAATTTTTGATATATGAAAATATGATATTGAAGTTCTATTATCCGAGTTCCAGTTCTGAAAATCTGATGTATATGAAAATCTAATAGGTTATCTGAATAATATGATGTATCAGATTTCTGAAAATATGATGTTAATGTAATTTCTGAAAATTTGAAATGTTAATTCTGAACAACTTTATGTTCTTTTTAGGTTGTGGTTATGGATAGTTAACTACAGGTTGTATTTTTCTTTGAAGTATGATGACTCAATAAAGATTCAACAGATTAGCAATTTTAAGTATCAAATGTCAATTTGTACAAAGTCTTTGATTAAAATAAAATAAGAGGTATTTGGCTTCCAAAAATGCATGAAGACATTGTATTAAATTGAATTTTTGTATGATTTTGTTTGTATAACCTTGATTTAATCTGGCCATAAATTTTATTTCATTTTTGCTATAATTTGTTTTTTATATAAGGGCATTAACTTAGTATCTCCCCCCGGGCATTGAAAATCACTGGACCGGCCCTGCTCATAACTTTAAGGTGAAGTATGAAATCTTCATATCTCAATTCACCAAAGGTTTGTGGTGAATGTTTTGTGTGTGACGAGAAGTGAGTGAAACAGGGGTGACCATGGCTGATGGTGCATCTTTGCATCGTTCTTCGACATGGCTGTAGAGGATTGATGATACTTCAATCTCTTCGTTGAACGTATGAGGGCTCAAACTCAATTTCTTAGGTTTGATTTTGGATTTCAGAAATATGTCGATGAAGGTGATGAAGATGAAAGGTAGCAGGAAATGGGTGTTCAATTTTTTGCGGGTGTAACTCTAATTCAGATGAACCCATTTTTTTAGAGAGAGTGTGTGTATGTGTGTGTTTTGTCTTTTCTTTTAAATTTTGTTTTTATTTTTCTTTTAATATGTCAAATATTTAAATAAATAAATAAAGTTGAAAAAGTAAAAGGTAAGGGTAAAATCGTCATTATAAAAAAGTTCAAAACAAATTGGATCAAACTCGCAACAAAATGAAAAGTTTGGACCTCTGGTGCTACTTCAAACATTTTTACCAAAATGATAATTTCCAGCTAATCACAAGTACCATTTGTGCAATTTTGTCTTGAAAAATAACATTTGTTATATTTAATTATACCATTAAGACATGGTAATTGAGATTAAAATAAGACTAAAACTTAATATATTTTTGACAAAAAAATGATATAAATTTTATTCTAATTGTATTAAAAAATCAATAATGAATATATTATATAAAAATAAATTACAAAAAATATAACAATTTTGTTTTTGTATTATATATTTAAATACAACTTATATGTTCAATAGATAAATAAGTATGTAAGACTTATATTGTTAATATCATAAAAGATCTTAGGGTTTTTTTTTCTGTGTTACACTAGCTATTTTGTTTTTTCTAAAAAGACCTTATATTGTTTTATTTTTTTCAATTCGACAATTTTAGCAAATTTACTGTTAATCTTCTGGTTTTAGATAAAAATTTTCGGAAAAAAAAACCCTTAACTTTTTTCCCTAGAAAAACCTTTAATTTTCTTTACTAAAAACCTTCACTTTTGATATTTTTTGGAATCTAATTTCGGTTTATATTTTATATGTTTGCTCCAGTAGAACATTTTTATTCTTTAAAGTTATTTGATACATAGTTTTGTCATTATGTTTCGTTAATATATATATATATATATATATATATATATATATATATATATATATATTTTGTTTTGACTCATAATTATTATGTTCATCACAAACATCAAGGTCTGATTTATTTTATGTTCACATACACAAATTATAGATATATATACAAGTTAAAACAAAAGCAAAGTTTGATTCATTGTATGTTCAAATTTTAGCCTTTTTTATGTTCGAATTTTATATATATATATATATATATATATATATATATATATATAATACTATATTATAAAGCATATTAGTCATATCTTGAATTTTAAGAGGTATAAGTTACATAGCTTTTTGTACAAATCAATCATGCATAAATAATTCATTAATACTTGCCAAAATTTTAAAAACTTGAATTAAAGAAAGTAATTAAGAAATTCAATTTGGAACAAAATGAAAATTATAAAATGATAAATTCATGTTTATAAATTAATTTACATTTCTTAAATTAAAACACAAGTATTAAATAATTTACATCAGCAGAATAAACAGACAATATAAACATATGGTATAAACATAAATATTTTATTTAAAAGTTGTATTTTTTATTACTTAATAAACAATAATAAAATCTAATAATTATTTCTTCGTAAAAAACTATTCATCAAAAAAAAACTATTTATCGTTGCCGCTTACGCGAGGACACATCTACTATATATATATATATATATATATATATATATATATATATATATATATATATATATATATATATATATATATATATATATATATTAAGTGAGGTTTCATTTTGTTATAAATTAACAAAAAAAGCGATTATTTGTCCAATTTTTATATATGTTTTCCGGATTTAATAGACCCAAATGGATTAAATCATTATGTAAAATGAAGATATTCTTGGATATGGTTTAGTAATCACATGATGAATTCAAGGAATGATTTTATGTTTATAATTAACAAGATAAATATGAATATCTATTAAGCTTAATGGATTTATAAGCAGAAGATAGAAGATTTATTTTGGGTGAGTCATTACCATCCATCGCAACCTTTCTCCGTTGTCATCTACTTTAACTTCTTCAACCAGTGGATGAGAAATATACACCGTGGGTTGGGTGGGGTGGGATGAGGCCGGAGGGAGTGGTGCCACAAAAGTTGCACTCCCTTCACTGCCACGTAGGCGACACGTCATACTTTATAATAAAAGTGTGGTTTCATGCCACACTTGATTTTTTTAATTAAATAAAAACTATATTTTTAATAAAAAACATTCATTTCATTACTTCAAAATAAAAATAACATTACATTCCATTGTCTAAATAAAAATCCTAAAAACTTTAAAAAAAAAAACTAGAAATTTTAAACTTACAAACTTAAAAAAACATACATTAAACGATTAAAAATCACACACACTACATGAAGTTTCCTCCGAGAACTCGTCTTCCGGGTCATCATCCGGATCCAAATTGAGGTTAATGTGTTGAATCCCGTAAATGTGTTCCACCAAGTCCATACAAAAATTGTGAAATGTTTCATTGCAACGAACCTCTGCTCTCTTTTCAATGTACTCGTTGCCCCCAATTTCTATTACTTGTGTTGCGGGAATGGTTTCCTCTTCATCATACTCACATATCGCTCTTCATTCATTTTCGATAATCATATTATGCAGTATTATACATGCATACATGACTTTATGTATTTTTTCCTCGCTGAAAAAATTGTTGGTTTTTCAATATAAACCAACGTTTCTTGAGAGCTCCAAAAACGCGCTTGACATCCTTCCTAGCTCTTTCTTGTGCTTTCTTGAATTTTTTCCGACAAGTATCATTCAGACACGTAAACGATTTAACAAAAACGGCATACTCAGGATAGATCTCATCAACTAGATAATAACCATATTTATATGGTGTTCCACGCAATTGGAAAGAAAAATCCGGTGTAGATCCGTCGAATATGTTGTTAAATATAGGTGAACGATTAAGAACATTAATGTCGTTAAAGGATCTAGGATAACCAAAAAAAGCATGCCAAATCCACTGATCCTGTGATGCCACCGCTTCAAGTATGACCTTTCGATGCCCATGATCACATCAGGTAAATTGACCATGGTGTGAGGTAGGGCAATTTTCTCATGCCCAATGTAGACAATCTAAACTTCCTAACATTCCAGGAAAGCCATGTACGCTAGCATGATGAAATTGCAATTTCATGATGTTATTGCGTGTAGGCTTACGTAAATATTTTAGACCATAAAACTGAATAATAGTTTTGCAAAAATAGTGTAGACTATCTCGTGCAGTCCTAGCTGACATCCTAAAACTCTTGTCCAACTCATCGGGAGGGATGTCATATGCTAATTGACGAAGTATAGCTGTACATTTTTGTAAAGGGGTGAAACCGGGTGTACCTCTAGCATCGGGCCGTTACTCGAAAAAATCACACTCCCTCGTTAGATCTTCGACTATACGTTCGTACAATGGTTTGAACATTCTGAAGTGCCTTCTAAAGTAGTATCTTTGAAAAGTGACATTTTCTTGAGAGTAGTCTTGTATCAGACGTTGGTTTGCATCTTTACGATTCTTCGGGTTCTCTGTTCAGCACTGCCCGGATGCCTTACTGCATGCCACTTCATACATTTGTTCCGCAAATTTAGCAGTAGCGACAAAAACATCGAACATAACATCAAATTCTTCAGAAGAATCGGACGAAGACATTTTTTTAGAGGTAATGTAGTAGAAAGATAAAAAAAATGAAGGGTTGAAAGGTTTAAATAGATGTTAAAGGTTAAAAGGAAAAAAAAAATTAAAAACCCAAATTATGACCGTTTGCAACGGTCAAATGGGCTGGCCAATCAAAATCAAGCATGAAGCGCTCCCTCCGAAAGCCGCATCGCAGCCTCAGCCGCACCTGGACCGCACCCAAGGGGCGGTGTTTGTGCTTATGTGGCAAGGAGAGTGCGGCCTGGACTGCGTCCACTCCGCTTGGTCTGATAAGTATGGTGGGGATTTGTAAGTTAATATTAATATAAATGGTGAATAATAAAAAGCTAAAATATAATAAAATGATATAAAAGTCATTTTACATTGGTTAAAGCCATACACATAAAATATTGAAACCGTTTATGTAAATTTGTCATAAAATTATTTCCATTATATTGTTATCACTACTGACATATCATTATCAAGTCGTTGGCTAAAATGGTCAAACAAGTCAATGGCAAAACTAACCAAGAACCGTTTTTTTTGCTATAATTAGGAACCAAAACAAATTTTGCACACTCTTGCAGACTCTTATTTATCGGAGGGAAACACGACTAGTAAGTAGTAACAAGTTTATAACACTTCACTACTCATAACAAAATACGATGTCGATGTGTCTCTAGATCATAAACCAGTTAGAAAGGTATATAATGAAGCCGTAGTTATACCCAGCTATGTTGAGCTGTGGGTGTTTGTACTTTTAGAATCTTTTAGTTAGTGAAATCAAGATTTAAATACACAAGAGGGTAATTGGTATCATGTGTTGAGGTCACATGATCACACATGCTATTATTATTCTATCAAGATTTATGTGAGGAATATGAATATTAGTCAAATCTGACTCACATTATGATCATAAGCTCCTGAAACTTTCCAACTTTGAACATATCACTCACTCAATTCACATTGGTCAAACCAAACACATAGCTCTAAAACACTTCTTAAACTACTAGTCATGTTTTTTTCCCTTTCAATGTTATATAAACTGATAATGGTTAAAATATATAGAAAAACATCATTAAATTTAGATAAATAGAAAAAAAAAATAAAGACAAAATTTTGAAAAGTTAACTCGCAAGAACACATTTCCAAGATCTTGTGATGAACCATTTGGTATAAAAAAGTTAATGACTTAATCGGGAAAAACATTATTTTTGTTATATTTTATATTAAATGTCTATTTTGTATTAAGTCAATAAAAATAATGAATTTAAGTCATATTCCAATTAAATCTATTAAAACAAACAATTTTTCATTAAAAGGGTGTTTGAGATTTCATATGAAAATAACTTATTAATTTATTAACTTTTTGAAAAATCAATAAATAAAAAATAATATATTTGGGTATATAAAAAAAACTTAAAAAAAAACTTTTTATTAACTTTTTGAAAATTAGATTTTAAGAAGTCAGAATTTCTAACTTCTTAAAACAACTTATAACTTATTATGTTGAAAATGAGATTTTAAAAAGTTAGATTTTTTTTTTATTATCATTTTACATGTATAAGATAAGCCAAATATTTTTTGAAAAACATTTATAAAAACTAATCCAATAAATCATTTTGAATTTCAAAATGAAATCTCCAACGCCCCTTTTTCACGAAGTTTCGTCTCTTTTCATACACCTCCAAAGCTACATGCTTACAATAATATGAAAAGGGTACCAAGTAATCAATTTCGAAAAGCCTATATTATGCACAAAAGTATACAAACCTTTGACAATCTTAAGTTCAAACTATTATCTCTCCCTATATATTATTATTTCAAATTATAAGAATAAAACGCCAAATAACACATGCTCTGTCAGACTTGAGCACAAGGTTGCATCCAGTAACCATACTTTCCCATCTTTCTTAAGCGAGATCTTCCATGTGAAGAGTAACTTCTATGCTTTCTCCTATTCAGTCATCTTCTTTTAACTTCTCGAACATTGTCGGACACCATCATCATCAGAATTCGAATTCAGAAACCATGACCTGCAAACCGCTGTTCTTCCTGTTTTTCTTGATCTTCTTTCATCTTCTGGTTATGTCATTTGGGTACGAAAGACAGACTTTTCTCACAGAAAGATTTCAACCAAGAAGACTACTGAAGACAGCAGCTTCATCTCTCACCTCACTTTCTACAGATCCATCGAAGCTTAAGGGTGCAGCCATGAACGAGCCACAGACATCCGTGGAAGATAGTTTGAGGAAGCGGCCACCTAGTGCTTCAAACCCTTCACATAACTAGTACTAGTGGTCCATAGATCTTCATAGTACTTTGTGTAGAGAAAAAAAAAGGAAATAGATTTCCATAAACTTTTCTTTTCTTCTTTTCCACAATTCTTTGTACGTAGTACTTTGTTCGTAGATTTTAATATATCAAGAAAGAGATTTGAACTCAAGTTCCAACCACTGGGACGAACCCAATTGGACGATTTTGGATCTTTTTCTTGATAGGGAGAGGAGATTTCTATGTAGAAAGTTTTGATTTTAATTTTAACCCATTTGTTATTCAAATTATAAGTTAATGCTATTTAGCCATTTTGATTTATCAAACTCTCCATAACTATGATCCACTGATCTTAGTAGCACTTTATATATGTATAATCTTTTGGTTCTGAAAATATGTTATTAGTTGTGGCTTTTATTGCTTCATGTGATTTACCTATTGTTTTTGGTTTTTTATGTTTTCCTTCTTACTTTCTCCAAAAAGATCACATACACAAATATAAGATTTAAACTCAACATCTTTAAATAAATTGCTGTTAAAAAAATCATCTTTGAATCTCATGGTGTTAGCATCTGTCATATACACAATGTATATACAAGTTGTAATACATGGTTATGCATATATAATACACTTATTTTATGCAAATGCAAGCAATAATGATCGATTCAACAAAGTCACTATACATACAATTAGTGGCTGATCCAACATTGAGGTATGTTATCGTTACAACTTTTTATATTTTGTTTTTTTATATAATAAATTAAAATGCTATAATTAAGGTCTTCTCATGCATGCATTGTTGTGGAACCTTTATATGCATTCGTACAACTATTTTTGAAATTTTGTAAAGTGATTGTTGATGTTTCATGTCTTGAAATCTAGGCCTACCTTCTCTTGTTTTCTTTTAAGTTAAGATTCAAAGAAACACATCAAGAGAGTTCAACACTTGTCGTCTTTTGTTTACATATCTTTAATAATTCAATGTGTTTAAAGATGGGTCTTTTCTTTTTAATTTGATTATATTTTATTATGGTTGATGTATTTTGGTTTTTTAAAATGGTAATAGATATTTCTCTATGTTTTTGTGTTTCCATACTGCAGATCTGCCATGCTTATCCATTATTTAAGACATGGTTCCTTCTCTCCTACTCTAGTAATCAATAATACACGTACACTTGCTCAAGGGGAATGTCTTTGCACAAAAATTGTAAATATTATAGTTTAATTTAATTTTCGGTTCATATAGAATACGAAAAAAAATTCTGCGATTAAACCATTGTTTTTTCAATAGAAAAGAACAAAATACTTAATTGTTTACAGAAAATTTAAAAAATGGACAATCATTTACATATTTAAGATTTTAATTAGTAATTTTAGTTTTTATTCGGTAATCATCAGAAAATCTTTTTAGCTCATTAAGGATAAAACCATGACTCTTTTTTAGCAAAAAAAAAAAAAAAACAAATAATTTTATCGTACTACAATCTCACTATCTATAAAACAATATCATATGTAAAAAAAGGATATAGAATTTTATTGTACTAAAATATACAAGATTACAGTAAAATAACAATCTCTACATAACAAATAGAATACAATAAGAAATTTTCTTATTGTAACAACCTAAAAAAAATAATGATAAAAAATTTCATTTACAAATCCAATAGTTTCATTCATCAATTAACTCAAAAACCGTCACCAAATGTAATATCAAAATTTCAAAATACAAATATCCAAAAGTGCGGAAATCATAAGGGGATGATGTTATGTCATCGCGTCGGACCCTTCCCTTTCGAACCGGAAGTACCTGAAACCATACACATAAACTGTAAACACAAGGCTCAATTAGCTTCCCATAAGTATCACACACAAACACATCTACATATAACAACACATGGATGTGTCAGGTCCGTATCAACCCTTGGGTCCGTATCAACGCATATGATAGCAAGTAGCTGTGTCGGGTCCGTATCAACCCCTGGGTCCAAAATGACTCCGAGCCCAGATTGGCTCTCTCTCTCTCTCTCTCTCTCTCTATATATATATATATATATATATATATATATCATTCAATCATATCAGCCATAGTCACATAATCATATACATCCAATACATACAAATCAGTAGGTCGACATTGGTGCCTTCGACCCACTAGTGCGGTAAAAGACTCGCCTTAATCGATGTCCAGATAAAACAAACACTCGGTCAGCTGCTACAAAAGTTCCTCACGCTAAACATATCCACACAACATTAATTAGTAATTAAGGTAACATTCCATAATTAAGGGTCCTAAGCATACTCTCCTTGGGGTAAATAACCATCCTACCCCTTCATGGCTAGGACCCACCCTAAAGTCAAACAAGGTAAAAAAAAGTCAACCCACAAGGTCAAATCCATCGGAAAAAACCGTAATATCGGGTCTCACGTCGTGACCAGCCTTTGGTCACGTCATGAGAGTCCACCAGGCTCGATTCCAACAACTCGCTTCAGACATATCTTCGGGACAAAAACCTAGATATATCCATAATATGCAATAAAGTTTGAGCCTTTAGCACTTACAAAGGTCCAACAACAAGAGGAGATGATGATGATGATGCTACTTTACAAACTCCACCACCAAGACACTTATTTTCCTCTTCTTCTTCTAGCTATAAAATGCACCAAAATGGCTAAGGATTTCAAGGAGGATTGTGATTAGGGTTTATGGAGGCTTAGAGAGTAAGGGAGGCTGAGGTATACAACACTAGCCCTTTCATTCCATTAAATACCGAAAAATTAGGGTTTTGGTCATCAGACCGCTCTCACATCGTGAGAAACAGGGGATCACGTTGTGAGACTCGACGAATACGGGTCAACAAGTCAACCCTGGATCGTGACGTGAGAGGCATTGCTTACGTCGTGACTTTATCCAAAGGCTAAAGAAAAACCTCGAAATCATGTACCTTAAAATTGAATGTTACAACTCTCCCCCACTTGAATCTGACTTCGCCATCGAAGTCCTATACCTCAAACAGATCGGGGTAATGCTCCCTCATCTCGGTCTCAGGTTGCTAAGTCCATTCAGAACCTTTCTGTTGTTGCCACTGCATATTCACTAGATTCACCTCCTTGTTGTGCAAGGTTTTCGTACTTCGTTCGAGAATCATAATTGGTCTCTCTACATAATTCAGGCGCTCATCGACTTGAATATCATCCAAGGGAATCACCTCAGATTCATCGGCTAGACACTTTCGAAACTGAGAAACGTGGAAAGTGTTGTGGATTTGACTGAGCTCATCAGGCAAATCCAGTCGGTACGTTACCTTTCCCACCCGGACGATAATCCTGAAGGGACCAATGAACCGGGGGCTCAGATTGCCCTGCTTCCGAAATCGGATGACACTTTTCCAAGGTGACACCGTCAGAAGAACCAAGTCCCCCACCTGAAACTCGAGGTTCGAACGTCACCGGTCTGCATAACTCTTCTTTCGACGTTGCGTGACTCGCAGCCTGTCGCGCACCTGTTGAATCAATTCAGTGGTCTTCTGTACCACTTCAGTACTTCCCATGACCCGATACCCGACCTCGCCCTAATAAAATGGGGTCCTATACCTCATCTTATACAACATCTAGAAGGGAGGTCGATCAATACTGGCATGATAATTGTTGTTGTAGGAGAACTCGGCCAGTGGGAGGTAAGTATCCCAACTCCCTCCAAAGTCTAACACGCACGCCCATAGCATATCTTTGGGAGTTTGAATCGTACGCTCACTCTGTTCATCGGTCTGGGGATGATATGTTGTACTGAAATGCAGTTGTGTACCTAACTACTCATGGAACTTCCTCCAAAACATGGAGGTGAAGCGAACATCTCGGTTTGAAACCACAGAAACTGGAACCCCTTGTCGAACCACCACCTCTCGAATGTAAATGTTGGCCAACTTTTCAGCAGATATATTATCGGCGATCGGAATGAAATGTGCACTATAGGTCAATATATCAACAATAACCCAGATAGAATCCACTCCGCGTGTCGTCCTTGGCATCTTTGTGATAAAATCCATGGTAATCTCTTCCCACTTCCACATGGGGATGGGTAACGGCTGCATCTTGCCATGAGGCCTCTGATGTTCAACATTGACTTTTCGACAAGTCAGGCACCGCTCTACGAACCAAGCCATCTCCATTTTCATACAAGGCCACCAATAACTTAGCTTCAAATACCTATACATCTTTGCGGCCCCCGAATGGATCGAAAACTTTGACTTTTGAGCCTCTTCTAAAACTGTCTACCTCACCCAACTGGTATTCGGAACCCAAACTCTACCACACTGAGTCAACAACCCCCGATTGTCTCGGACAAATAGAGGAATCTACCCCTTGATTTGCTCATCTTTCCAATTCTCCTTTTTCATACCCTTCACATGAGCCTTCTTGATCAAATACAACAAAGGAGAAATGATAACCATCCTCAGACACAAATCCCCAATAGGTGTACTCATTGTCTTACGAATTAAGGCGTCAGCCACCACATCGGCCTTCCCAGGGTGGTACAGGATCTCGCAATCATAATCCTTTACCACATCCAACCATCTCCGCTGATGCATATTAAAATTCGGTTGATTAGGTATGAGCATATGGACCGGGGAACCGGAACCGGAACCCGATGGAACCGGTCGGGCTGGGACCGGGACGATATTCTTGTGTATTTTTGGAACCGGGAACCGATAGAACCGGACCCGATAAAACCGACAAAAACCGGTAGAACCGGCAAAAACCGAAACCGTTTGTTGCTATTTATCGAGGACCGGTTCCAACATTGAAGACACGGCAAGAACCAGTAGGAACCGGGAACCGGTAGAACCGACGGTCCGGTTCGGTTCATAATTTCGGCCGACTTCGGTTCCCGGGTCGGTTCCTTTGCTCATCCCTAGAGCTGATCCATCAGTGTAACATCCCAAAAATCATAGGAATTTAAATTTTTCAAAAACAACACATTAACGATAAAGTGTTTTCAAAAGACCATTGTTTCAAAACTA